CTGCTGCAGAGCTTGGAGCACCGGAACGCCCTGGGCTCGCAGCTCGTGCTGGCGGACGTGCTGAAGGAGGAGCTCTCTCGGCTCCTTCCGCGCTTCGTGCATTGAGGTCAAAGTCCCTGAGGAGTCCGCCTGCGCCTTCGACCAGGCCATCCGCGTGGAGTTCTGCGACGCGCAGAGACCGTTAGTGGAGTGCGAGTGCGCCATGGAGGGGTACAGCTGCGTGGGAGCTTTGTCCATGAAGCTCTCGCAGGAGGGTGCGCGCATGGCTATGAAGACCCGCGGGGTGATTTCCCCGCTGGGCGAGATCATCGCTCACGACGTGAGCTTCGACCCCATCGTGAACGTGTATGATCGGGTGGACGAGCGCGGCGCGACGCGTCTGATCCGCGTCGAGTGCCCTGGCGTGACTGAGGATGACCTGGACTGGGAAGAGTTGCCCAATGGCGTGAAGATCAGCATCGACAAGAAGCGGCCCATCGATGAGGCGGTGGTTCAGCCAGTGCAGCCCATCCGTCAGCACCACGGTGTTTGGGAGAGGACTTTCACTTTGACTATTCCGAGGGGCGCTTTGACCTCTGCCCAGACGACGCTATGCTGGAGAACGGGGTGCTCACCGTGCCGCTGAGGAAAGCCCCTCAGCCGCGCAGGGGCAAGTTCGGACAGGCGTGCAAGACACGCATGCAGGGTTCGGCCATTGGCCAGGACCCTGATGCCAAAGCCCCGTCACCGGTTGCCTCTTCCTGTGCCTCATTCGCGGTTGTGCCGCCTCTTCCCCAGACATCGCCTTCCACACACGCATTGTCCGAGCGGGCTTCACAAGAGAGCCCCCGATGAGCACATGATCCTCGGGCACAGTTGTAGTACGATTGGCCCAGTTTGGAGGCTCAGTGCTTTGTTGCGGAATCTGCTGCAGCACGCATTGCGTATAGCATGAGCAATGTGCAACGCCAAAAACATGTGAGACATTTAGAAGGCAGCTGGACATCTAGTAGCTAGTTCCTTTCATTACGTGCTGCTTGCAGCTATGCAGGGACGCTCTGGTCACACAGGCTGGCAGGGCATTCAGAAATCATGTCGCTTGTGTTCGCTAGTGCGCTCCGAGTGCTGGTGAAATCCTATCCAAGCTGCAGAGAGTCTTAAAATCTGGGATGAAGAAGGTCAGGCAGGATTTCCCCAAGGTAGGCATAGGCAGGTGTGGTGTTGGCGATGAAGGAAAAAGGCATTGGAGTCGTCCACATAACAGTTCTGGAGCCATGATCCCCAACACCTGCGAGAGTTTCCAATGCCTTGGGCTACATTCCACAAAAGGGCACGCAGCAGCTGCTGGAAGCTCCCACAGAGTGCTTCTGTTGTTCGGTTGAAGTGACGTGACGCTGCAGGTCCAACTTCAGGGGCGCCTCTGGAACATCACCTTGGCCAATCTCGTGTCGGGAGCTCGAAGGGCATTATGTACCTGTATTTTGGCCTTCTTTATGGCCTCTTGATTTCTCGCGCGGCTGACGAGCTGATTCTCATGAGGAACAAGAGTCTCTCTGCAGGCTTTTGACCCCAGTCACTGGTTTTGTGACATGAGATGTCATGCTATCCAATATTGGGGGCTGTGCGTGCACATGGACACTGTAACACGGGGATTTTCACAGGGGATGACCGTACAGAAGCACCACCTGAAGCAAAATGCATCTTGAAAACTACAGGTGCTCGAGGTATCCTGCGTCTTGCAGAGGTTCCTCATTGACAACTTCGTAGCAAAACGTGCATGCAGGCCCTCTTGCGTATAGAAGGTCTGCCAGGAGCTATGACAGGCCTTCATGTTAAGCAGTAGCCAAACGTCATCCCCCCCAGCAGAGCCTGTGTGCTGTCAGCAGTCTATGTTGGCGCGAGTTTGACAAGAAGCCCAGGGCTTGTGTGTTGGTTTTGACAGGCTTCGGGCCACACAGCCTGAGATGTTTGGCCCCAGGGGTTTTAGTCCGCGCTTCGACGATGCCGTATAGGGTATAGGAGATTTTGGTTGTGCGTCCTCCAGCGATGGCTTTCTCTCTGTAGTTTGCGGACGTGGTCTGCAGAGATTTTGAAGACTCTGCCCGGCCCTGTGTTGACAAAGCTCCGAAAGGACACCGCAGCAACGTAATTTCGGCTCCTCGCGCCTCGGAGCTGTGGAAGTCCTTCTATGGGAGCTCAAGGCCGGGCGTGCATGAAATCGTGGCGCCTCACCACGTTCATTTTCTGGACCCTCATGTTCAAGGATTTCTGTTCTGAGGGATAGCACATACCCAACCGGCTTAGGAGCTTCTATCACTTGTGGCACATACACGCATATTTTGCGTTGCAAGCGTTGTTCTCGGGCACCGCAGGCCACTTGGCGCCTTCAGGCAGCTGATCTCCAAAGCAAGAGCAAGGGTGATGAAATAGTGAGCCCACCTGTCCGCCTTTGGCACCATCTTTTCGTATTGAAGTTCCACCCGCGTGGCGACAAAGATGCAAGGTCTGGCAACTGCAGCTTGTTCTTGGGTGCCACGGAGGGGTGCAAATTCGAGCTCCGCATCAATGGAGTGTCTTGTGCAACTCAGACAACCTGGGAAGTCACACCAGAGCAAGTGCGCAAAGTTGGCGGCTGTGCCGACTTCGGCCCGCAGCCCGACCTGTCGAGTCCGGTTGATATGGAGGTCCGCTTTCACAGCATTGCAGGCAAAAATGCTGATGCCTTGCAAAAGGAAGCCATGTGCTACTACGAGAAATTGCTGTTCAAAGCATTCCAGGATCAGATGCTGGAGAGAAGCCAGAATTTGCAGCACGCGACCACCCGGATCCAGGCATCTTGGCGGATGTGGACCGGGCGGAAGCTTGCGAGGTCTCGGTTGGCCGAGAAGAGGCGCAGCGTGAAGCGTGCGAAGGAGCTGGCGGCTGTGCTGCGGGAGCAGCTGTCTTGGCGCCTTTACCAGAGGCGTTTGCAGCGCCGCTGGCACAGCAAACTTAGCAAGAGTCAGGCCACTCCCTACGATGCGGTCCTGGCCTTCGAGTCCTGGCGCAGTTCTTGTCAACGGGCGAGATCCCCTTCTTGCAGCATGCGGAGTCTTTGCTCCAGGTGGCGAGTGCCGGGAGGTGCCGCATCGTGGCTGTGGTGGGCCTTTTCCACAAGGGCAAGACCTGGCTTACCAACAAGCTCTTCGGCGTGAACCTGCCTTCTGGGAAGCTCCACACGACCCGCGAGTTTCTTGTGGATCGAGGAGCGCCGGATGCTGGTGCTGGACTCCGCCGGCGTGCAGTCCACCGTCTCCTACCAGAAGCAGGCGGTGGATGCCATCCTGGATGCCCAGACTACGGAGTCTCTGATGTTCGAGATGATCTCCCGCATCGCCCACCACATGATCTTTGTGGTGAACGACCTCACGTGGTTCGAGCAGAAGTACGTGGCCATGCTCCACCAGAAGTACGTCCAGGGCGGGCAGCAGAAGGAGCTTGTGGTCGTGCACAACTTGCGCAACACCACGAATAAGGCGGAGGCCTGCAAGTTGTTCAAGCGGCAGGTGATGCGGTGCTACGACGGCGAACAGTCCCACTTAGGCGAGCTGATCTTCACCCAGGACGCTGGGAACGGGGCCCCGCCGCTGCGCCACATCGGCCTTTGCTACGAGTTCTCGCTCGCGGGTGACGCCTTCAACGAGAAGAACCGGCAGCACCTGCTGCAGAGCTTGGAGCACCGGA